AAATGGGCAAGGGTTCTGCTAACTTAGGGTCCTCGTCAGTGCACTCGCAGTCACAAACCACGCCTCTCAAGCCAAAGCTGGAGGAGCACCGTGCTTTGACTTCGACAAGCTCAACGGCCTCAATCAGCACTACATCAAGGAGGCCTTCACCGTGTGCCTGTCTCTAGGTTTTTTAGACGGTGCTGATGAAGAAAGCCCGGAAATCTGTGCACCCCTCTCTTTCAGTCGTCCAGGATTCTACTTGGAGGTTCCATGGGGTAGTTATAAGTGAGATTATAAGTACCCTAATATGGGTTATAACTATAGTTACCCTACTTATAACCCCACTTTATAACTACCCATCAACCTCCAAGTAGATGCTTTTCGCGGCAAAAAGCCTCTGCTACTGCCACCAGGCGGACCACCTTCGCTTGGCCGAGATCGTCTTGAAGCTCTTCCCGGAGGCTCCCAGCCCGAGGGGCGAAGGATGACCAGGATTCCAGGATATGGTGTACTTGGAGGTTCATGGGGTAGTTATAAGTGAGGTTATAAGTCCCCTAATCTGAGTTACAATTATAGTTACCCTACTTATAACCCCACTTATAACTCCCCATGAACCTCCAAATAATCCGGTTTAGAGGTCAGGTTTTCATGTAAGGAGCTCGTGCACTCTGGCAAGGGGAGCCTGCTTCAGGCAACTACGAAGGAAAACCATCCTTCAGCAGTGCTTGTGAGGTTGCACCCTACGAAGAGAAGCTTCGTGATCCTCGCGTGGCGAACATGCTGAAGGTGCGTGCCAAGACGCTGGTGGAGTACAAGGAGGCCAGTTCGGCAAAAAGGTTCAGGGTTTAGGGTTTTGGGTTTAGGGTACCAATTTGGGGGCACGTGCAACAGGCATCCTAGGATCAAGTAGTTTAACTTAGGGCCCCACATTCTCTGAAATTCGTTCAGTAACCATGGCGTGAGTCAACAGAAGTGAGGATGGCAATAAACAGCACGACCCACTATCATCATCGGAACAAAGTTTCGACTAGGCGTGCCCAGGCCTCGGAGAAGGCCCCTCTAAACCCTAAACCCTAAACCCTAAACCCTAAACCCTAAACCCTATGGATGTCCACCAACCCTATACTTCCCCTAACCCCCCCATTGGAAAGACAGGCCGGATGGTTCTTCATGTCCAAGCGGCCCATTGAGGTGTCGCCTGCTGCGGCGACTGGATGCAAGGGGCCCTCAAGGGGAGTAGGGATGGAGCTCACGATTTGGGGTTCAAAGGAAGGGTTAAATGTGGGAGTCAAGATGGTTGAGCCATGCTAGGATGACTGTCCGGGGTGTCTGCGGGTTTTGGAGGAGTGAAACGAAGAACCTTACATCCCCGAAGCAGTGGTATCACGAGACTGTTCTTGGGCGCTCAGTGTAACGAGGTTTCGGTTGCAGGAACTGCGAAAAGGGAGTGGCCGTGGGTGCGACTTCCGGAGGCGGAAACATACGGCACACGGGACTCTGGCAACAGCACGGCGATGCCGAATGCGCAACCCTCACAAACAGCGCTGTGGCGAGAGCACAAGGCAAACCGAACAGCCCGACAGAGAGGGCCATCTGAAGTCGGGAGCACGAGTCGCACCCCCAAAGTGCGGATTTTCGCAGTGCGAGGGCCGCGCCAACGCCGGCCCGCCTGTGCGGAGCTACGGGAGCCACGAAACCGAGTGGTGGCAACTCTTGGATGTTGGGTTGGTTCTGGCGGCCTCGCCAGACTTCCTTGCGAGTGGTCGTGGGGAGGTCCTCGAATAATATTGAGTTTTCTTCACCTACTTAAAGGATCATGGGACTTAGCAACGAAGGTCATTATTAGGGTAACTATACTTATAACTCCTTATAACCCCAAGTAAGGTAGTCTTGGTATGTGAAGGTGACTGAGATGTCGTTGGGCTTGCCTTTGTGGTCTGTCTAGAGAGACTTCAATCGTAGCATACCCCTAAACCCTAAACCCTAAACCCTAAACCGTGCTTCAGTCCTGAGGCTATGGATCTCAAAGGAGCTGGTGCGCAAGAGGCTTTGACGGCCTTGGTGCAGCTGTTGGAGACGCTCGGCTGCCACCAGTGCCCAAGAACGGACCTTCCTCGCTGCCGAGCTCCCTCCAAGAGCATCTGCACCTAAACCCTGAACCCTAAACCCTAAACCCTAAACCCTAGCCCTAGAAACCCCGAAACCCTGAGAGCTCCCTGCATCCTGACGCGTAGGAGTGTGGAACGCTCCCCCTTAGGAAGTATTCCGGCGAGTGGAGCCCAGAGGGCTTGGAGACCTGCATCAAGGACTACGCCGGGACGCAGAAGGCTTGAGGGTTTCCTCTCTGCACAAGACATGGGAGGATTGAGGGTTTCGGGTGCTCTCTTTCCGCACAAGACATGCGACGATTGAGGGTTTCTGGGCGTATGAATGAAGGATCGGAGGACAAGGCAGCTGATATTGAGGTCTAGAACAAGAAAGAGAGCTCACAGAGGGCACTTGCCACTGAATCTTAGAGGCGAGCTTCCGAGCTCCCTGACCCTTCCACAGTGAACCTATCAATTAGGGGGGTTTAGGGTTTAGGGTTTAGGGTCCCACACCCCAAATCCCTGAAGCCTAAACCCTTGTCAACCCTTAACCAGAAGCTCTGAGAGATTCGAGGTGCCTTCTTCTGGTCTTCGCCCCCTGCTCAAGGCTGTAGGTCGACCTTGCAGCCCCAAACCCTTAAACCTGAAGCCCTAAATCCTAAACCCTAAACCCTAAAACCTAGAACCCTAAATCCTAAATCCTAAACCCTAAACCCTCAAGCCTACAACCCTAAATCCTAAACCCTGAAACCTAAAACCCTAAATCCTAAACCCTAAACCTGAACGCGGGAGGTGAAGCTGGGGGCCCTCGCCAAGCCCGCGCGAGCCGCGCCGGGAGCCTCAAGAAGCTGTTTTGGTTTAGGGTTTAGGGTTTAGGGTTTAGGGTGTTTTTTTCCCCTCCCCTCTGTTTCTTTTTTTTAGACAGCGGGCTTCTTTAATAATTGTTCGTTATGTTTTTTTGCGAGTTTGGAGTTTAAGGGTTCTTCGGTACCCTCATAACAGCATCATTCGGTACAAATGATGCATGATCGAGCACTTTGCAGTTCTATGATGTGGCACAAACCACAGATGACAAATGGCTTGAGATGACAGAACAAAACGGTTGAAAGTGTAACTGTCAAAATTATGGCACAGCGCGACGGTGCACCAGGACACAGTGCATTCCAGCGCAGCTCGCATCGTGTATGCGAACATGCTAGTGTAGTGTTTTTGACACAATCCAAAACTCGAACCTGTATGACACCCTAAACCCTAAACCCTAAACCCTACACTCTAAACCCTAAACCCCAAACTCCAAACCCTAAACCCTAAACCCTAAACCCTACACCCTACACCCTAAACCCCAAACTCCAAACCCTAAACCCTAAACCAAAACAGCTCGCCGTACATGTCCCGAGCTGATCCGGCAGTGTGTTGAAGCAAGCAGAGGCTAACCCCACACCTCATACCGGTTTAGGGTTTAGGGTTTAAGGTTTAGGGTTTAGGGTTTAGGGTTCAGGGTTTAGGGTTTAGGGTACCCTATACTCCCCCCTACGCTTTCACCCCATTTTTCAAACCGCCTAACACTTCAACCCTTAAATCCCTCAAAACACAAAGCACCTCCCAACAATCAATACAACAATCCCGAACCAAAGCAACCTACCAAACCCAATACAATTATCCATAACATAACCCAAAACCCAAAGCACCTAAACAATACTTAACCTAACCCATTCTAACGGTTTTCCCTCTCGCATCTGTAATCCTAAACCTCATTCGTTTTAATGACCTGCTTGAAACATCAATCCAATCATTTACAAGGGGAGCATTTGTAGAAACCGCAATACCGCCCACATTAAACATCATGTTGACTTTTTTTGATTATGCTATTACTGTATCCATCAGGTGCTGAATAATGAAAATCACTTACTTCAGTGCATACAATAAATAAAGAGTTAAAAGGGTTCAGGTTCATCAACCCACTCGTCCAAGTTGCAGAACTCGGCACTCGTTCTTCATCTAACATATTACCATCCCATATATTGCTTTCCTGTAGTTCTTTATCGGTTGGAATTTTAAAACTGTATGTATTATCAGTAATATTTAATATCATTCTTCTTTGGTCGCTGTCATAACTTGTTGTGAAAAGATTTGAAGGAAGACCCGCATTATCTGCTTCTTGACTTAATAAATTACCTATTCTACCTACCAATTGAGACGCGAAGAAAACCTGATTTTTTAAATCAATCTGTAAATATGCTTCAACTACTCCACTTGAAGCATTATACACTATACAATAAAAGAATTGATAAAAATCCTTCTGGTGTTGTGTAATAGGATTGAGGTATAACTTCATCCATTACATACATTACGGTGTTGGGGTGTGTTTCTAAATTTTCGTTCATCTGTATTATAAAATCACTACTGCTCTCACTTTGCGGTAATCTTTGTTTGACTATCAACATAAACTTTATTATATGTTAGTTTACGATTGCTTAACATTATTATAATATACTGAGATAATTTTATACACTATACTATAATTATGGCATCAGCAGGATTAAGAATTGCTGAGGTTTTGCAGGGTTTAGCAAGAACAGGAAGAACAACTAATCAATTATCAAGGGAGGCACAGGCATTACGAGGTTTAGAATTTGATGAAGAAGCGCGAACAGCGCAGGCACTGAGAAATTATAGAGATGAAGCCAATAACGTAAATGATAATTTTTTACAATCATTTCAAGCGAGATTAAGAAGCAATCAACAGTTTAACCCCATTAAAGACTTTATACAGGAGCAGTTAGAAAGCAATGAAAAGAAAAAGACAAGACTATTACAGAGGTCAGACGATTTTAACGCACACTTCAACAATAAACAAATGCTACAAAATCCTAAATACAGAGAGGTTGTTAATGTTGAAAACAAAAATTATATTGATGATGTAGAAGGATTGAAAACTGCTTACGCTAATAATACAGGATTATTCAGGTCAGGTAATACTTTATATATTTCAGGCACTGGCGGTAAATCTGGATTGGGAGCAAAAGTAAATGATGTATTCAGTGATTATTTTTAATCCCTACACATACTTTACAGTTTTCTGATAAATATAGAGATGTAATGAATGAATTAGAGAAAAACCCTGATATTACGAGACTGGTGGGACATTCTTTAGGCAGTTCCGTTCTTCAAGAAAAAAATAACAGTAATAATCAAAAGTATATTACAACTACTTATACTGCTCCTTTTGTATCAATGGGCAACCGCGATAAAGACCCTCATCATTTACGATTTTCAAGCAGGGGAGATGTTATTAGTGCGTTGGATAGGGATGCTATAAAATTGATACAGACACCATCAACCCAGTTAAAGCACACAAGTTTCACAACATTGAAACACAGGGCACATCTAAAGTCGGTGAGGATAATACTATGGGCAAAAACAGTCATACTAACGAAGGAACTATACAACAACAAACGCAGCAACAAAGTTGGAATAAATACATCTAATTAATAGTAATGAATAAAACGCGTTATAGACCAGATAAAGAGCTAATATTAACATCTAATAAAAATACATTAAGCAATTCAATTACAAGAGATATTAAGACAAAAAGAGTATGACAGCATAAGAGAAATAGTTGAAGATAAACTAGAGATTATTTATAATAATAATGCTAAAGAAAATAAAGTTAAGAAAACACTACCGTCGTCAGATGCTAATAGGAAGATATTACCTCCTGAAAATACGAATAATATAAATAAAAAGAAATATCAAAATAGTATTATCTATTTTAAAATTTAAAAGTATGGATAATATAGTCGCAGAAGCAAATGATGTAATGTCTCCCGCATTAGATTTTGGATTCCCAAAAACAGCTCAATATGTCCAAGACCGCCGGCATGTAAACTATGTTCCATCAGGTAGCAATATTTATACA